TTATTTGAAAGAAAGTTTTTTTTAAAACTTTGTGATTTAAGCCAAAAGGGAGTATAATTTTATTTGTATCTTCTGCTGAATAGTTATTGGAAATGCCCTTTCAAGAAATCCAAGCCCCGGGGATGTAGTTGGTCGGGTGAATATTCTGGCATCTGATGGGTAAGTTTTGATGAAGGTTGAATTGCTTTAGCCGTTTGAAGCCTCTCTACTTATCGTCTGCTAGTTTGTGCAAATTTTGAAGGGTACAGAAGAATTTTGAAGGGAAACTTGTCGGCGCTGATCGTGCTAAGGATCTTGCTGTCTTGAAGGTATATGTTTTGGTTATAATTTTGATGGACTGTAAAAGGAAGCATTTGCTTATATTGATGTACAAAAAAAAATCAGGTAGAAGCCCCTGAAACTCTCCTGAAACCGATTAAAGTTGGGCAATCAAATTCTCTAAAAGTAGGGCAGCAATGTTTAGCAATTGGAAACCCATTTGGCTTTGACCACACCCTTACTGTCGGTGTCATCAGCGGTCTTAACCGCGACATTTTTAGTCAAACCGGAGTTACAATTGGTGGTGGTATTCAAACCGATGCAGCCATTAACCCCGGAAATAGGTACGTCTATAGTATCATACAAAAAGGGATTATGTAAAAACATTTCTTGTGTGTGTTCAATAAATTTTTCTGTATTAAATATTTCAGTGGAGGTCCTCTCCTTGATTCAAAAGGGAACTTAATTGGGATCAACACAGCCATATTCACGCAGACAGGTGAGTTTAGTTACTATCGAAAATTATATAGGAATTCACTTTAAGTCTAATTTTTTGCTTCAACAGGAACATCTGCGGGTGTCGGGTTTGCAATCCCGTCATCAACTGTATTGAAAATTGTTCCTCAACTAATCCAATTCAGCAAAGTAAGTACATACAAAATCCATTATTTTGTTTTTCTAAATCCATCCATATTTGGACTTTCTCGATGTTGTTATGGAATCAAATTTCAGGTCCTTCGAGCTGGTATTAACATAGAATTAGCCCCGGATTCAGTAGCTAACCAACTCAATGTTCGTAATGGAGCTCTTGTCCTTCAGGTACTGTATATAAACAACATCACACTCTTAAACCTCGAAACCATTCTTTCTTTTTCTGACAAAAATGATTGAGAATGCAGGTACCGGGAAATAGTCTAGCTGAAAAAGCAGGATTACGTCCGACATCTCGGGGTTTTGCTGGTAATATAATACTTGGAGATGTCATTGTTGCAGTTGATGAAAAACCCGTAAGCCCGATGAACTTTTAACATAAAAACAAGAAAATGATTCTCAAGTTTTTGTTTTCGTGTCCCTATGTGATTGACTGATTGTCATTTCTTGTTTTGTTCTTGAAAGGAAGAACCGTTTTTTGTTCTGCTCAGATATATCTTCAGGATTTAACTGAGGTTCTGTATCTTTTTTCTCAGGTGAAGAACAAAGCGGAGTTGATGAAGATATTAGATGAGTATAGTATGGGTGATAAGGTGAATCTTAAGATCAAGAGAGGAACTGAAGATTTAGAGTTACAAATCCCATTGGAAGAGAAAAGTTCGTGAGAAGTTTACAACATTTGAACTCTCCATCTCGAGTCTCTTTGCCTTTCCTTTGTATGTTTGAGAATAGCCAAGTCATCGTTACTTCTCATTCTCTGAATATGTACGTACGTCAATGGAAAAAAAATTCACTAAATTATTTGTTTTTCTTTATTTCAAATTTTTGAAACTAAATATATCGTTCAAAAGGAATACCTAAAATACCATTAAACAAAGAGGAATTGCCAAATACGCATGCCTTTGATTGGTATGGCTTATAGCAGAGCAGCAGCATTAGCAGTATGCACCTCCAGCATACTCTGATTAATATGCATAAGTGATTGACAGAGTTGTGAATAACTAGATACAAAATTAAATAAATTATTTCATTATAGTTATTTATATGTATTCTAATACGTTATATATACACTAGTCATAAGTTATAATAACATTTTTTATTCAATTATTCTTTTATTAAATTATTATTTTATTATAATACTATTTAACNAATAGAAAAATAAACTAATGTTAAATATTAGGTTTTANTTTNAATATAAATATATTTATAAATTTATAACATAATTTTTTAATAATATTTTCAAATTTAAATTATATTTAACTAACTTTTTTTTTGATATTATTTTA